TGTGTCTCGTCGTTGGACGCAGGCAGGGGCACAGCGCTATCTGGGTGAGTGCGAGGGGTGGCCAGGGTGAAGGTGCGGCGAAAGCGCCGGTTGTGCAGGGTGAGGCGGCCAGACCCATCGACCCTGACGCGGCATTGGTCGTGTCCTAGTGACTCTACTCCCACCCCAGATCTGTCCCATGCCCGCGGGCTGTAGCCCAACTAGGTTCTGGAGGAACACCGCCACCCCAACTACGAGAGGGCGGAGCAGTCGTACGTGTTCTCTCAGAGACTCAGTGGTGTGGGCCATCCAAGTACGGATGGACTCTTCCTTCGCCGCCCATGCCTGATGCCAGAGCGGACGGATGTGAGGGTTGGAGAACTTCTCCAGCCTATTAACAAATGACAGCGAGTCCCTGAAGGGGCGACCAAAGATGATTTGCGCGGGCAACAGGTCGCAGTCGGGATCAGGCGTATTACCCCAATATTCCACTTAGGGCTGGGCGATATGGCAAAAATAGAATATGACGATTTTTCCAATATTTTATCACGATTTCGATTTTATCACGATTATTTATCCATGAATAGCATAACTTCAATTGCATATTAAAGAAGAGAAACATTGAATAAATAAACATTTATTCATATTAGGGATAATCAGCACAGTGCTAACACACTTATATTTTAAACTCACACCAGAGATGATAAAAGCCCTGAGAGAAACAATTACAAAAATCTGTTTTTCTCGTTTTTCAAGTAACTTAACATAAATTAAAATCGTAAACATATTTAAAGTGCAAACATGTCAATTGCAAACGTATTGTGCAAACATTAACTTGTTCAAAATACTATGTAGCTCCCAGTTGCTCATGTAGTGGATAGTTAAGCTCAAATACGGCTCTGATGTGCGGCTGGACCAGAGATCGCTTGTGGTAGCAAAAAACTGCGCATTCTGAATATTTTCTGCAACAAGTCTCTAAATAAAGTAAAATTTTCCAGTGCAGATTGGAGACAACCCATAGAAGCACTGATTTGATCTCATTTCAGAGACAAATAGAACAGGTTAGATGCACCTAATAAATAAAATTACTAACAAACTCAGGAATCTTTCTTTGCTTCATTGTTCTGGTGCTGAGAATATCACTAATGTGGATCAAAGGAGATACACAGATGAATGCACCTCTTATTATTTGGAGACTACATTTACTGCAGCTGGCAGAGGCAGATATTCTTTCTATTGATACACGGAGTTTACAGAATCATTTTAAATTTTAATAGGGGAAGACTGCAGGAGGGAGCGGTAAAAACAAGAAACTACGAGTCTGATGAAACCCGCTGGTTTTCCATCAGGCAGTCACGGGGCAGCTCCAGCGACCCAGTGACCGAGCTCAGTCCGGCTCGGCAGAGGGTGAACGAGCCGAGGCGACGTCGTGCTCTGCTTAAGAAGCGGTGTTATTTTCCTGCTTCAGAAGAAGCGTCCAACGTGTTTTTACGCTTTCTCCGAGACATGTCACGTCACTAAGTTGTTAGCACCGCGCGCTAAGGAAACCCTGCGTTCCTCTTCGGAACGAAAACCTCGTTGTCGCTCAGCCGCGGCGAAGCCATGTTTGTTCACACACAGGGGAAAACAGGCGGGGCACTAATATATTACTATGACTCACTCTGATTGGTTAAGGGTCAAACAAAGGCGTGTCATTCGCCTGAGGTAAGTTCCCTTTTCATTCAGAGGCAGAAATTCAACAGCAGAGCTGTGAATCGTGATAAAAAGGTCTCTCAACAATGACAGACCGTCAGATGTGTAGATCGTAAAACGGTCTAAAATCGTCATATCGCCCAGCCCTAATTCCACTATCTCTGCTCCGCCCCCGCTTTCCGCTGCCGCTCGCTTCCGAACTCAAATTATACTGTACCCGCTCTACAACGGCTCCACTCTGCTGCGGAGACCTGAGGTGCGCAAACAAGCATGCGCGGGAGGTTCGAGATCTTGCAATACAGTCTGAGCAATAAATGCGGAAGTTAGATCCAAACACCCGTTGTGTGGGAGAAGCATCGAAATAAACAGTTTAATCTGCCTATCATTTATCATTGCTCAGCGTCCAGCAAAAATAGAATCGATCCTATTTTTGCCGGATGGCGGAACGGCGGGCGGTGCACTGCGCCGCACGGCCGCAGTAGTGGAACAGCTCTGATTGACTACAACGGGACCGTTTTTGCTGCGGAGTTCGTGCCGGAGCGGAGCGGAGATAGTGGAATTTTGGGGTTACGCAGTTGCAGCATTGCACGCAGAAAGCGGTCATGGTCGAGGCTCCAGGTCGGGCTGGTGTTTGAGACTAGGAGGCGCTTCGCCGTCTTGACAGCCACCTCCGCCCTTCCATTAGACTGGGGGAACCCAACCGAGGACACACGGTGCTTGACCTAGCATAAGCGGAGGAAGTCCGCTGTATGCCCTGCCGAGAACTCCGGGCCCCCGTCACTTGACAACTCCTTGGGCACACCAAACGTGGCGAAGAAAGCTCTTAAGTGACAGATAAGCCCAATGGAGCCCCAGAGATTGGTGCCCGCGGGAGAGCTCATGACTTCCACCCAGCCGGAGAGGCGATCACCAACGACCAGGTAGTGGTGACCCTTGTAGTTGAAGAAGTCTGCAAACACCTCCTCAAATGGCGTAGATGACGGTGATGCCGGCATGGGAGGTGTGGCCGCCTGCGAGGGGGTATTGCGGTTACAGTCTGCGCATCGCTCCCTGGTCAACTGAATGTCGTTAGACATACCAGGTCAGTAAACAATGGAGCAGGTCCATCGTTCCATTACCGACTTGCCCTGTTGGGTGGTGTGGAGGTGCTAAAGTACTGTATGATGGAGGGACGTGGGGACAACAACGTGGTAGCAGTACAGCAGGACCCCATCTTGTGCATACACGGACTCACAGACCTTAGACAGGTCGGCCAGCGCCAGGTCCTTTGGGTCAATGCTGCCCCCATCTTCAATGAGGTGCAGGAGGTGGAAGAGGCATGCGTCTGCGGCAGTCCCCTGAGCGAGGAGTGGCCATGCAATGGCAGCAGACTCCAGTGCATCGCTGCAAATGGACGCCATATGCACCAACTCCTCGCTATCGGTCACGTTCCATGCGCCCATGCAGCAGCCCTCATCAGAGCCAGAGGGTGAGGGATACCTGGAGGCTGCGTCGGTAGCACAGGTGCTCTTGCCATGCAAGTGTACAATATCAAAGTGCCATGGGAGTGTGCGCTGTTTGAGCCTGAACAGGCGAGAGTTAGTTATTTCATCCAATAACCGGTCCCCAAGGATCTTCACCAGGGGCTTATGGTCAGTGACCACGACCAGGTTGTCGCACCCCTGCGTGAAGCATCTGGTCTGCTCCAGAACCCATGCTACAGTCAAGGCCTCCCCCTCAACAGCGGCGTATCACTGCTCAGCGGAGGAGAGAAAGCGTGAGCCGGCCAGAGTAATTTTCCATCCATCAGGACAGCAGCCAGGGACACCAGAGCTGCAGGTGCAGTGCTGCTGGAGGAGGAAGTATCCAATGTCGCGCCTGGACCAGTCTGGGCGGAGGCAAGTGCACCTCTCCATGTCGTAGATCTCTACGCCTGCCCGGATAGAGTCCACGATGGCCAGCTTGGATGCCTGAAATGCAGCCTCTAACTCGGGTGACCACACAAATTTGTATCGAGGGCTCAGAAAGGGCTTAAATGGCGCCATTATATCACGCAGCTGCACGTAGTTGGCCACCTGATTAACCAGACCAAACCAGCTCCTGATGTCCATGATGATGACTAGCTGATTGGATTCTTGTGTTAGAAGTTGAACAGGTGTACCTAAAGTGTACCAATGAGTGTGTGAATTATAATAATCATAACAGCAAGCTGGAATTAATGTATTTCCTTTATTTTGACTACCTTATTTCTTCTAACTCCATGTCAGTCAGACTGGAATAACTAGCTTTTTCTCTCCAGAATGACTCAGGTTTACCTTTGCAACACAACTCCCCCGAGGACGAAGCCAGCTGATTCTCATGTTTGAGCTTTTTTTGGTGTGACCCACATTTTAACAATCACAAACGGCGTAATGTTACTGTGAGTTCAACGCTTTCGTTAAAGTTTGGAGACAAAAGCGTCCTGAAAATGCCACTAGTTTAAGTCGTCACATTAAAAGTGAGTTGTTTCTTTTTAGGTAAGTTATTTTAAAATATGTTTCCTATCGAATGTTGTTGTTTTTTTAAAACTACAATTCATCCCTCCCAGAGGAGTCCTTAAAACAAACAAAAAAAAAATCTTTTTTCTGGTAAGGACCAGTGAACTCTAATTACTTCCCACAACTTAATCCAAGGAAGAGGACATACCTGTGGAGAAAATGTCAGCTGCAACACTCATGAAGGCTTCAGTCACCAGGCTCTCTGATGCCACAGTGATGTTCAACTGACGGGTGATGTTACGGTACACATTAGGATGGAGGTACTCCAACTCCTCACCTGGTCATAGCAGAAGAAACAGAACATAGAACTTAGTTAAGTCGTCGGTTCTCCTGCTGCATTAAGCAGGACTGTAGGGCTTTAGAACAGTGGTTCTCAATCCTGGTCCTGGAGAGCCGGTATCCAGCATGTTTTAGTTTTAACCATTTCAACACATCTGATTAACGGGATTCTGCAGAGCCTGATGAGCTGCTGCACAGGTGATTCAACCACTGAATCTGGTGTGTTGGAGCAGAGAAACCACTAAAACGTGCTGGACACCAGCCCTCCAGCACCAGGATTGAGAACCACTGCTTTAAAAGGGAGCACTAGCATGTTATCCAACTAAAAAGATAATAAAACATGTAGGTTGTAAATAAATATGAGCAGGAGTTAAGTGCTCGCCCCGTAATCGGAAGGTTGCAGGTTCGAGCCCCGCTCAGTCTGTCGCTGTCGTTGTGTCCTTGGGCAAGACACTTAACCCACATTGCCTGCTGGTGGTGGTCGGAGGGACCGGTGGCGCCAGTGCTCGGCAGCCTCGCCTCTGTCAGTGCGCTCCAGGGCAGCTGTGGCTACATCGTAGCTCATCACCACCAGTGTGTGAATGTGTGTGTGAATGGGTGAATGACTGATTGTGTTGTAAAGCGCCTTGGGGGGTTCCAGGACTCTAGAAGGCGCTATATCAAATACAGGCCATTTACCATTTACCATTTTACAGTGAGTTAAACCCTATTTAACAAAACGTGGCCCACCTTTGATCAAAACTGATAAAATACTAGCATTTCCCACTCTTTAATGAATACAAATTTAACTTTTAATCAGAACGGAGCTATGATCGTGAAGAGTAAAATCCTAACACACAGCAAAATTTACAGTTTACACACGATTATTTACAATAATAGACAACTTGATATTGTTTTATCTGTATTTTTAATATAAAACCTTACATTTGTAGCTTTCTCCTCTGGTTTGCAATGCAATGCATTATGGGAAACTTTGCTGTCCCAAGTCCGCAGAAAGATGCATTGATGCACCCTCGATACAACAGGTGGGGCAAGAACACATCCAGGAACTTTGAGCGAACTTGCCATGATACATACAACGTTGATGATGTTTCACAAGGATGCGAGTACACAAGTGCAGGCAGGCGAATTGAGAAATGGCCTAGTTCTCTTTCTGTGCTGCCTTTGGGTTCCATTCTTTGCATGATATTCAGATTATTTTCCCATTAAAGTATAAAATATTAGTTCCTTGAAGCTCTACAGGACCATCTACTAAACATCAAAACATAGATTCATTTTAATTCCCTTCATCGTAATGAAAACAAAACAGAAGTAATTTATTTGGGAGAAATTATGGTGTAGACGACCCCGAAGCCACCCTCGGGCCACTACTTAATCAGACCTCATTAAAAAACAGACGTCAATGTTTGCACCTTCTTTCAATCCAAGACCAGTAAAGCAAACTTCTCATGAAGGGCAGCTGTCGGGTCTGCCTGCATCTGTTTTGTTTTACATGTTTAGTGTGTAACCTTGGTCAGGCTGTACTGCGGAGTGTGCTTTGGGACGCTGCGGCACTGACAAAGCCGATTCTGATCATTCAAACAAATTTATTTCAGCGACAATTTTCAAAGTTAAAAACTCAAACTATATATTTTTAAAAATCACAATTTTATCACAACATGCTTGATTATTATTGCTATTTGTTTTCACTCTAGAATCGTCCTCTGTTCTGCTATCCTTACCTAATGACAGGACTTAGAAAATGGGACCATTTAACAACCAGTGCTACTTCACTCCATCTATTTTCTGTCACATTCAAGACTGATTTTATGATCTTAATGTTAAATTTGATGGTTCTTGATGATTTGCCTGTCAGTGACTTGATCCTAGCTGCTGGGTTCCTTATATAGGAAACTTTTTACTGATTGGTTTAATGAACGGACCTGCATTTTACTTCGTGGAGTGCCTTTGAGACGACTGACTGGGCGACATTTAAACAAACTGAATTAAATTTATTTTGAGCCTATCCTATCTCTGAGATCTTGTAAATCATCACTTTTTAATTGGAACACTGAGGTCAAACAATCATCATAAGACCCAAACTTGAAAGTGAAAGGCTGCTCTTGCTGCTTATCTGTCCAACAGATCCACGTTTACTAAAGTTGATGAAAATAAAATGATATATGGTCACCTGCTAAAGGTGGGTCCAGTGAGGTGACCGAGTGTCATTCTCCAGGTGACAACCACAGGAAGTACGTAATTAGGAAAGTAATTGGCAAATTGAAGTAATCAATGCTCTCTCTAGGGAGCCTAAGTCATGCCCATCTACTTTCAGACCACGGGTCCCCGCGAGAACAAAAAAATGAATGCAAGTCAATGGGACTAAACACGTTATTTTCTAATTCTGCTTGTTATGTGCCACGGATTTCACACATGGTGTCCGTGCATTTTAAAGAAGCATTTTCAGACCAGGAAATCACTTATTTTCAAATGGGGAGAAATGTTATTTTAGGTTTTGTGTGAAAATAAGTCCAGGGCTACAAATGTGCATCGCCAAAGTGACATCGTTGAACCAGACACGGGGAAAAACAGGACGAGAATGGCTACAAGTTCAGCAAACTTCAAATCCTTCCTTCAGAAGGAAAGAAGCACCATAAATCTGGCCGTGTAGTGAGTAGCAGCTACACTAGGGGAGAGGAGGTTATGTGGTGACGTCGTATATGCAACGTACCAACATCTGATGCTAATTACAAACTTTTATAAGCTGATGAATAGTGGTCGAAACACACGTCGTAACTTTTCTATTAAATATAAGTACAACATATGAGCGAGCCAGGGCGTAAGGCAAAGCGGGTTAGAAAATAACGTTTTTAGCCCCGTTGACTTGCATTCCTTTTTTCGTTCTTCCGGGAACCCGTGAGCCGACCGGAAAGAGAGGAGACTAACCCTAACCCATCATTTAACAAGGTGAGTGAATTGAGAACTCATTTCCTTTATGACGACCTTACCAAGAGACAGAAGAAGAAGAAAATATCATTTCTATAGCGCCTCTCAGGATAAAAATCACGAGGCGCTTAAGGCGACAGCAGCAGGAGCAGCAAAAAAAAGCATGTTACCACAGGATCCATGTTTCATTTCACATGACATTTTCCTTAATAGATGCATTTTCGCCTGATGTTGAAATCTTTGCATTATCATACTGCAGTATGGTAAAAAAAATAATCCTAATAAATTGAGTGGTGTTAGTTATCTGCTTAAAAAGCACAATGATTGTCTCCATGTAGGTAGTCAGGGCTTTCAGCACACACACAGAAAACCAGCATGGCAGTGCCTGTAAACAAGACACGTTGGCAGAGATGACTGACGCGTGTCAGCAGGGTGAAGCAACGTGCTTTGTGATAAAGTTAAATGACTTAATGGTGCTAAACAAGATTAATGAAGTGACATGAAACGGGATTTCTCTGACTGCTGGTTATAAATACTAACAATGTTAACCCTCTCAGGCTCAAAACAAGTTTTGATAAAAGGACAAACAACTAAGTACTTCAGGGGTACTTCTGAGTTAAAAAATGCTCATGAAATACTTGTGGAGTAACCAGGAAGGTAGGTTTTAATGTCGCAAATCTGCAACGCCTGCCTCCAGACGGTTGAACAGTTATAGGTTAAGAGCAGAAAACATTGGTGACGCAGCTGCAGTCACCGCATCGGCTGCATTTTAAAATAGTTTTGTGCAAGTCCCACAACATTATCAGCATGACAAACATTCACGTGGCCTGGCCGTATCAAAACATAAAACAACGTTATCCAACAGAGATAAGAAAGCCATCATACCAATAAATGCAACCGTTTTAAATCAGTTCATGTATTTCATTATATTTTATTTAATTAGCTAAAGAATGTTTTTGGTTTTCAGGATCAGAAGACACGGGGAAAGTGAAAACAGCAACCGTTCATGAGGATTCCTTCTTGGTAAACCAAACAGAAAGTGGTGCAGACGAGAAGCTGCTGTATCACCGCCGTGTTCCAATTTGCATTTGTAATATGAAAAAATAAGATGTCTTTGGGCAGCCAATAGCATTTGTAGAAAGGTGGAATTTTCTCTCTTTAAACACTTTTTTAAAATGTACTTATTCTTTATTTAACCAGGAAGGTACCATTGAGATTAAAAGCCTTTTCAAGAGAGTCCTGGCCAAGAGGCAGCAAAAGTTACAATTACTCATTTTCTGCACCACAGACACAGGGGTGGCGTTAGGCCCGGCTACTTGGGCTGAAGCCCCGAATGTTTTATGAAAAGCCGCGGATCTAGATTGCGGAAGTAACATGCAGTACCAAAGTCCAACAGAGAGGGAGCAGCTGGCAGTAGTCTGTATACAGCCTGCCTGAGCCTCCACCACTGAAGAAGAAGCCCTTCAGCAGCCGGCTTCTTCTACACTCTCTGTCTGAAACGCATGAGTGAAGATGGACATAAGGACGTTTTTTAGACCAAAAGTACGGCGACAGAACCCCAGCTTTGATGAGACTGGTGTTGACTCAGGTTTGTGAGTCTTATTTGAAAATATTTGTTGTGCTGCTGGTTTGCCTAAAGTTAGCTTATCAGGTAAAGTGGTTGGAGAAAGAAAGGGAATATTTACTATCATCTCACACTAAACACTAACAGGAACAATACTCTGCCCTGAATATGCTTAAAATGTAGCTTCAGATTACAAATTATGTGGTACAAGACATTATACATATATATATATATATATATATATATATATACAGGTGCTGGCCAGTAAATTAGAATATCATCAAAAGGTTGAAAATATTTCAGTAATTCCATTCAAAACGTGAAACTTGTACATTATATTCATGCAATGCACACAGACCAATGTATTTCCAATGTTCATTACATTTAAATTTGATATTCATAAGTGACAACTAATGAAAACTCCAAATTTGGTATCTCAAAAAATTAGAATATTCTGAAAAGGCTGAATATAGAAGACACCTGCTGCCACTCTAATCAGCTGATTTACT